TGAGGGAGGGAGGGATAGATGAGCAGTGAAATGGATGGATGACTAGATGGGTGTATGAATGCATGAATGGATCTATGAGTGGAGGGAACTGTGGATGGATGAGTGGATGGATGGATGGACGGATCTATGGATGGAAGGATCTCTGGATGGATGGGTGGATGGATGGGTGGAGCTGTGGATGGAGGTATCTGTAGATGGATGTATGGGTGAATGAGTGGGTGAATGGATGGATGGATGGATCTATGGATGGATGGATCTGTGGAGGATGGATGGATGGATGGATGGATGGGTGGATGGATGGATGGATGGATGGATGGATGGATGGGTGGATGGGTGGGTGGGTGGATGAATAAACAGTGAGATGGATGGATGGATTGACCCATGGATGCAGGGATCTATGGATGGATGAATGGATGGAAGAATAGATGGATGGATGAGCAAGCAGTGAGATGAATGGATGGGTAGATGAGCAGTGAGACGGGTGGATGGATGGATGGATGGATGCGTATATGCATGCATGCTCTGGACCAGCCTATTCTGCCCCCATCTCAACCTCCTCTTGTCTTGCCCCTCCCTCTATAGCTTTTCCTGAACCCCATAAACATGGATGGAGCTATTTCTCTCATCCTGTCCATCAAGAGGAATCCCAAGTCCAGGATGGAAGAGCTCGACATTTCCGTAAGTAATCAAATGGTAGCCACTTGCACCAGGACGTGAACCAGTGTCCTCTGTCTACTTGGTGCTGGCCAGGCCCACAGCTCCACCCCTCACAGGTCCTGACACAAACGTCCCATGGAGAGGTCACTCCTTTGGGCACAATTCTGTCCTTTCCAGGGAGCCTTTCACTAAGTGCAGCCATTTAGTAAATAATATCACAGCATGAAAGAATTTACCAGATCCAAGAAAACAGGCCATGGATACCTGATAGTAGAGAGAAGGCAATGCCAAAAACAAAGGTGGGAAGACTCCAAACAGAATTTATTTTCCACCAGTTTTGCTGGTAAATGGCCCAGATCCCAGAATAGTTCTGGAGTCATAGAAATTTTAGAACCTGGGTATTAGAACATACAAGCTTTGTTTTCATTTCATGTCTTGGCCTATTGGAATTTGTAGGTGAGAATCCCTTGATGAGGAAGGAAAGTCCGAGGAGGTAACTTCAGGCTCCTGCAGGCCAGGCACTCACTGGAATCAGCATCATGGTGGCAGCTGATGCTGGCAATATTCAGTGCTTGTCTATCATTTCATTCTCTTTCTCTTCCTAAGTGATTTTACGTTGGCCAGCACATTCCATCTGCTCTAGAAGGTCAGTAGAGTACTGTGTTAGTTTACCAGGGCTGCTGTGATAAAGTACCACACACCAGTGACTTAAACAACAGAAATGGATTGTCTCGTGGTTGTGGAGCCTGGAAGTCTAAGATCCAGGTGTCGGCAGGGTTGTTTCCTTCCCAAGCTGTGAGGGAGAATCTGTCCCAGGCTTTCCTAGCTTCTGGTGGTTTGCTGGTGATCTTTGGTGTTCCTTGTCTTGTAGAAGCATCACCCAAATCTGCCTCCTCTTGTCCTTCTCTCTGTCTCTGTATTCAAATGTCCCCTTTTTATAAGGACACAGTCGTATTGGTTGAGCATCCAATATAATGACCTCATTTTAACTTGATCATCTGCAAAGACCCTGTTTTCAATAAGGTCACATTCAAGGTCCTGGAGTTAGAACTTCAGCATCTTTTGGGGAGAGGACTGCAAATTTCAACCCATAACAAGTATTTTTGCTCATTTTCCCATTTTACATCTTAAAAAAACTGAAACAGATGGGTCAGGTTATTTACCTGGGACCCATAGCAAGTGAGAAACACAGCAGGAAGAAACTCAGGGCTTCTGTCTCCCACCCTAGAATTCTAGAAAGGTATGATGTTAAAGTCCTTTACATTTTTTAATGCCACACACATATGATGCTTTGCAAGATTTTTTTTTTTTTTTTTAAGTTGGAGTGTCACTCTGTTGCCCAGGCTGGAGTGCAGTGGCGTGATCATGGCCATCACAGCCTCGACCTGATAGGCTCAGGTGATCCTTCTGCCTCAGCCTTCCAAGTAGCTGGAACCACAGGTGCACGCCACAATGCCCAGCTAATTTTTTGATTTATTATAGAGATGGGGTCTCGCCAAGTTACCCAAGCTTGTCTCGAACCTCTGGACTCAGGCAATCTTCTTGCTTCCACCTCCCAAAGTGCTGGGATGACAGGCATGAGCCACCACGCCCAGCCTGTAAGATTATTTTAACATCTTGCAATTATAACAGGGATGATATTTTGAATATTTAAATCCAAGCTCCTTAGAACTGAATGCTTGGTAAAGTTTGGGCACAAATTTTAAGACTCTATGACATCTCAGGCACATTCCTTCCACCTTTGGCCTTTCCCCCTGGCCCAGGCCATTTCCTGTGCTCCCAAGTCTTCTCCAGAGGACCTTCCCTGCCCTCAAGCCACAGTCCTGCCTTTGCACCCAGGATGCCCCGTTAACCCCTCTGATCTCAGCCCATGTGCAGATTTTAAGGCATGTGTTCCCTCCTCACCCCCACCCCCACAGCCCCAGGGCCTGCAGAACAGGTTGGAAGGCATGGACCCAGGCACTGCCTTGGTGTGTTTGAGAGGACATTAGAAATGGCACTGTCAGCAGATTCAGTGCCTCACGCCTGTAATCCTAGCACTTTGGGAGGCTGAGGCAGGAGGATTGCTTGAACCCAGGACTTCGAGATGAGACCAGTCTAGATAACATGGTGAGACCTCGTCTCTAAAAAAACCAAAAAATTGGCCAAGTGTGGTGGCATGCACCTGTAGTCCCAGCTATTCAGGAGACTGAAGCAGGAGGATCGCCTAAACCCAGAAAGTCGAGGCTGTAGTGAGCTATGATGACACCACTGCACTCCAGTCTGGGCAACAGAGCTGCTGTCTGTCTCTCTCCTTCTTCACAAAAGGAAATAGGAAAAAAAGTGGTGCTGTTTAGTCCTTGATGGCAACAAACCTATGGGCTGTATCCGCACTGGCACTCATCAAGCCCACCAGGGCGAAGAGGGGTGGATCAGCCTCTTCCCCCTTTTCTTAGCCATGCTGCCATCACACCAAACAGTGCTGTGATTCTTTTTTGCAGATGCTTCTAGAACTTTCTCTAGACTCCCTGAAAAGGTATAGGTTTAATGCTCTGAAAAAGGTGAAATGGGACTCAGAACCACCATTGTGGAATGAAACAGGTGGACCAAACTGGTGGAGGCTGGGAAGGAGGAAACGCTGCCTCTGAGGACACGTGTCCTCCTCTGTCCTGCAAACCAGCTGTGATGACGCTGCCGGAAGGGGGAGTTCCCGACGCCTTCTGAGTCACTTGTTGGGGTAAAGGACCTCTTTCCAGGGTGCCTGCAACACTCATGTGAGCATGGACGTTTCGGGACACATGCTTAAAGCCAGTCTTGCCACACACAGTTGTGTCTTGGCCTTCGTATGGAGACACTCGGGCTCGCCATCTGAGAGCAGAGCTGATCTGGTGGCAGGTGACAGGCCACCAGCATGCAACAAAAACATGCGATCAAAATGCTGTAGGAAACTTACGTGGCACATCACAGGCATGAAAGCCCGAACCATCCCAATCTAGGAGCAGCTCTGAGGACACACTGGAAAAAGCAGAACTCCCCAGCTTTGCTTGGAGGGAAGGGAGGGCCCACTGGCCACGCAGGGAGGTGGCGCCCTGCAGTGCCCTCGTCACAATGGGTCCCTTCTCTCCTGCCACAGAACGTGCTGGTGTCCGAGCAGTTCATGAAGATCTTAGATGGGGTGTGCACTGTGCACCCGCTGCTGGATGTGCAGTACAAGGCAGTGCAGGGCCTCTCCGACAAGAAGACCCTCCTCCTGTGGACAAACCCCATGAAGCTGATCCAGGTGAGCTCCGGCTCTCCTCCGGGGTCTCCAGGGAGCCCTGGAGAAAGCTGGCCCTCGGCTACCAGGGTTTCACTCCCCCAGTGTCTGCGCAGTCCTCTGTGACTGCAGACATGGAATATTCCTCCAGACACTGGATTCCTGAGCAGCACCTTCCAATTCCCAGGGGCTAGCTAAAGTGAGGGTGGGGCTTGGCATGAGAAGGATTCCCCCACCCAGGATTTTCAACCTGCACACGTATGATCAAAAGCAGGTCACTGGTGCTCTCTGGGCCTCCGACTCTTCACCCGGGGAATGGTGGCATAGTACCCTCCACAGTAGGATTGCTTGGGTGGTTAAATTACATAACATGCGTGAAGTGCTTTAAAGAATGCCAGGTACAGTATAAGCCCAATGCACACAGGTTTTTTTCCGACGACTGGTAAGGATGCCAGGACATCCCTGCAGTCACAATGCCTATCTGATGGTTTCAGCTAAAAAGGGACATTCAATCCTTTATTTCTGGTGGTAACCTGCTCCTTGCTCAAGTCTTAGACTGTCTCGGGCAATCTCAGGAGGCAGATGTGACTATAAAGATGTGAAACAGAGACTGTTCGAGCTGAAAGGGGTATCAGTGCACCTCTAGTCCCGTTGCCTCACAGAGCAGTGGCCAGACCTGGGTCTGGCATTCCCCACAACCCACGGCGTCTGAGCTGGTGGGGACTGGGGGCTGAGGAGCCCACTGCTGGCTGCAGTCTGGTTGCTGTCTGGGAAGCAGGTCTGGTTCTGCAGGGGGCATGCCCTAGTGGGGCTGCTCTGTGCCTTGGTTTCCAGGGCTAAATACAAGAGCTCTCACATGAAAATGATTGTTTTGTGGAAAGTTCTAGATGGCAAAGGGATGTCTAGTATTTTTACAAGTAAGGTGACTTCAGATGGAACCAAGGCCAAACCTGTTCTACAAGGGGGCAGGGTACTCCGGGGAACAGAAATGGAGCTGTCTGGTGCAAAGCGGGAACCCTAGCCCTTGATTTAAAGAAGTGCAGAGATATCAGGCATAGTGGCTCATCATGCCTGTAATCCCAGCACTTTGGGAGGCCCGAGGCTGGAGGATCACTTGAGTTCAGGAGTTCGAGACCAGCCTGGACAAAATAGTGAGAACCTGTCTCTACAAAGATCCAAAAATTAGCCAAGCGTGGTGGTGCATGCCTCCCAGCTACTTGAGAGACTGAGACAGGAGTCTTGCTTGAGCCCCAGAGGTCAAGGCTGCGATGAGCCATGATCCTGCCACTGCTCTCCAGTCTATGTGACAGAGTGAGACTTCGACTCAAAAAAAAAAAAAAGGCACAGAGAAAGAAGCAGAATAGAGACCAAAGTCATGGGGTATAAAACACAGTCCTTCCTTGCCAAGTGCCAGCAACCCGACTGGCAAAATGGGGTAGATAGAAAGTGTCACCTGAGTCATAAGTAAATGACAAAAGCAGCAAATCTAGTTAGAATCCAAATGTGCTGGATGCAGTGGCTCAGCCTGTAATCCCAGCACTTTGGGAGTCCAAGGCGAGTGGATTGCCTGAGCCCATGGGTTCAAGACCAGCCTAAGCAACATGGCAAGACCTCATCTCTACAGTAAGTCAAAAAATTAACTGGGCATGGTGGCGTGTGCCTGTAATTCCAGCTACTTGGAAGGCTGAGGTGGAAGGATCGCTTGAGAGACCAGCAGGCCAAGGCCGCAGTAGCCGTGAGTGTGCCACTGCCCTCCAGCCTGGGCAACAGAGTGACACTCCAACTCAAAAACAAAAAAGAATCCAAATGTGAGGTCACTGTGGGGTTGGGCAAACAGAAAGAATGACTTCCTGGCAGAGACAGGGTTGCAGAAGAGCCTCGAGGTGGTCACCCGGTGTGGGGGGGTTGTTCTGGAAAGAGATTCTTGCAGCAAAGGCACAAGCAGAGACCACACTGCACGTGACATGTTTAGGGGATATGACTGGAACCCCAAGGCTCCAACAGAAGAACCATGGGCTCACAGAGGAGCAATAAAGTCAAAACTGGAGAGGGAGACCAGGCTGGATGTGGTCGACCTCAGATTTTAGGCTCAGAGTCCAGGTTTGGGAATTCCACCAGGAATAGGGAGCCATTGAGGACTGTTGAGCAGAGGATGTGATATGAACCCAGCAGGGCTGAGGGGTAATCGTCTGGCAATGGGGAGTGAAGTGAACCTAAGAGGGTAAACATGATGGTGGGAAAGCCAGTGAGGACACGTCCATGGCAGCACCGTGAACCCCTCCAGGGCACAGCTGTGTGGGATCCTATCAACAGCACCCACCAAAGTGGCAGGCCCTGATGCCAGCCAAGGCCTTTAGCACAGAACCCACTCTGGCTGGGACAAGAACAAAGGGACTTATTAGGGGATCAGACCACAGACAGGTCAGGAGGGCTCCCAGACAGACTTGGCTTAGAGTCCAGAAATGGCTTCCAGAACACTCCAACTGGGTTGCCGACAGGCCTGCTGCTTCTGCCACTGTCAAGAAGCTGCATAGTCAGAGGGCCCCGCTGGGTCAGGACTGGCCATGGAAGCTGCCCATGCCAGCCTCTCTCAGGGGAGACCCCTTGTGTGAGTCTTATTCGGTGCATGCCATCCTGTCCTGAGCTGCAGGGCCCTGGGGAATGCTGCACTTGGCCCTCCAGGCTCTGCCCGCTGGGAGGAGCTGGCGTGGGGCTGGGGCTGCCCCACTCGGCCATGGTATGCCAGGCTCGGCCAGGGGAGCCGCACTCGGGTGTGTTGGAGAGAGGGTCCGGCAGGACGTCCAGCAGCTGTCAAGGACGCAGAGCTGGGCATGGAGACTGAATCACCGGGAAGGGTGAGAGGCAGTGCAGTCTGGAAGGGGAAGTGTGGACAGAGAAGGGAGGGACCAGGGGCTGCACCGGGGCATTTCCCCTGACATCTACCAGAGTCGCTGTCAACACAGCAGGACCCTGCCTGGAGGCTGTTGAGAGTGGAGGGGAAGAGAAACTAAACATACTTTTAACATGGCTGGGTGCGCTGGCACGTGCTACTCGGGAGGCTGAGGCAGGAGAATCACTGGAGCCCAGGAGTTCTGGGCTGTGGTGTGCTGTGCTGATCAGGTGGCCTCGCTAAGTTTGGCATCAAGGTAGTGACCTCCCAGGAGCAGGGGACCCCCCCCCCCGGGGTTGCCTAAGGAGGAGTGAAGCAGCCCAGGTCAGAAACGGAGCAGGTCAAAAGTCCATTGTGATCAGGAGTGGGATTGCACCTGTGAAGAGCCACTGGGCTCCAGCCTGAGCAGCATAGCGAGACCTTGTCTCCAGAAAAAAGAAAAAAATTATAATTAGAGAAATGAACCCCAAAGAATATTTTAATGACATTGAAAAGGCGTTCACAATGTGTTAGTATGATGCGTTTCATAAAACAAGAGGTGTATAGAAAGATAACAGACAAATTAGATAAATAAGAAGATAGACTGCTATTGGATGGATAGATGGATAGATAGATAGATAGATAGATAGATAGATAGATGATGGGTAGATAAATAAATAATAAATGATAGATGATAGGTAGATGGATGGATGGATGGGTGGATAGATATTATACATAGAAGGATGCATGCACAGCAAGATATCACCTCTGGACGGTGGGATTGAGTTTTATTTTCTCTTGCTAATCTGAAATTCACCTTCACTGTGAGCAGGTAATACAGTTGACCCCTAAACGACACGGACTTGAACTGTGTGGGTCCACTTATCCACGAATTTTTTTCAATAAATACAGCCGGCCCTCTGTATCTGCGGGTTCTGCATTCACAACCAAACATGGATAAAAAGCACCGTATTGAGGGATGCAAAACCACGGATACAGAGGGCCTGGTTCCAGTTCCACATGACTGGCTGCAGGACTTGCATCCCTACGGGTCTTAGTAGCCACAGTGTCTTGAGCCAATCCCCTCCTATACTGAGGGACCATTATATTTTCAAAATGAAAATGGTGAAATATTACTTTTGAAATCATTTAGCCAGGTGGGGTGGCTCACACCTGTAATCCCAGCACTTTGAGAGGCTGAGACTAGAGGATTGCCTGCTCCCAGGAGTTCGAGACCAACCTGGGCAACATGGTGAGACCTCATGTCTAAATTAAATCCAAAAAATTAGCCGGGCATGGTGGCACACACCTGTGGTTCCAGCTACTTGGAAGGTTGTGGTGGAAGGATCACCTGAGCCCAGCAAGTTGAGGCGGCCATGGCCATGAGTGTGCCACTGCCCTCCATCCTGGGCAACAGATACTCAAAAAAAAAAAAAAAGGAGAAAAAAAATCATCCAACGAAGTCCATCTCCAGCTGAGCATTTGGTGAGACAAAGAACCCCAGAATTCCTAGAGCCCATCTAACCCGTCGCACTTCGTAGCTGTGGTCTAAACTTCTCATCTCCGAGAACACCCCACCCACCATCCACAGCACCTAGTCCTAACAGAAGGAATTTAAAACCCAAGTTGCATGTGCTAACGTGATCCCTGCCCTCCGCTTGACGCTTGACGTAGGGCCCATCTCCCACCGGGGGAGCGGGCAGCATTTCAGCTCAGTGGGGCGGGCCCCTGGGAGCCCCACAAGCACACAGTAGCCACGGGCAGCAAGCCTCGGCTCCTGGTCCTGAAGAACTCAGGGAGAAGGTTTTGATCGTTGTTGTGAGGCCAAGTGTTTGCTCCTGGTGTCCTTGCTTCCCCAGAGCTACGCAGACCAGCACAGAATGACAGTCCTGGATTTCTTCAAGAGCTTGAGCCCCACCAAGATGATGAAGATGCCTGTGGATGACTTCCGGAAAGCTATGATACAGGTGTGCTGATGCCTATGGTACAGGTACAGGTGTGCTGCAGGCACCGTGTGGGGGGGTTGGAGAGAAAGAGGAGAGGGAGGAGGGAGAGCTGAGCATGTGGCAGAGCTTCCTGGGCTTGCTGTGAGACCCTCCTCATTTATCAGGACCCTGGGGGGACCCCAAGACCTCCCTCAATCCCTATTGATGTCGCTTCTGGAGCCACATGGCTTGATATCACCTGAAGACACACGCTGTCTTTCCAGGCCTTTCTCCCTATTGCATTTGGCTCCAGGGAAGATAAAAAATGGACTGAGGGAAAAGACCACACCCCAAGCCCCATCCACCTTGGCCACATGTCTTACCTGAATCCTTCATTCTGGGAGCCCCCACGTAACAGAGGGTGTGAGGTCCCTGCAGGGCACCCTCAAAGGGGTCCACCATCAGAGATCTGAGAGGGAAACAGGGCCTCAGGACAGGATTCAAGAGGGACACTCGGGGGCCCAAGCAGGGCTGGAAAAGGCCCCCAGGACGCTGTGGGTCACAGGGTTGGCCAGGACGCAGCAAGAAATGAGAATGAGAACTTTACAGGGCTGCAGAGGAGAGTTCTGTCACCCCGCGGCCACTCACGTCCCCAGTCTTGGTCTCCTTTTCTCTACTGCCCCCCAAAAAAGAGAGGCTCTCTGGAGTCTGGGCTGGGAGATTCCCGGGGGCTCCTCTTGGTTCCTTCCTAGCTGCCATACGTGGTCCCAGGAGGAGTGAGGCACTGTGCAGGTGTGCGTGTTGAGGGAGAGTCTGGGGGTGC